AATTAACCGAATTAATAAACTCTTCTTTTTTTTTTTTTCACGTGTCTATCGATTTCATTGAAGTCACTCGAACTTGCAACAAAAAATGCATTTCGTTTTTCCTTTTTTCGCGCACTATACAGAATGGAGTACGACGACTAGAATAGCCACTACTTTCGACCACTACTTTTCTATTTTTTTTATGTAGCGAATATTTTCTCTACAAAGTGGTTTCTTCTTTGTCGAATTTAACCTTCAATCTACATGACACGACGTGGATATTATTGGATTACGGGTACAGTTTTGTACCTTTACGAACGTAAAGTAAACTGTATTACATACAGTTTGGCAAAGTGATTGTCAAAAAGTCTGATTTTATTAAATTATTATTGCCAATTCACGCTCAGTGGTCAGAAACAACGTCTTTTCTTCACTCACTTGTCACTTTAATGAATGATCGCGGATAAGAAAAATATTGCGTTATTACTAGGAAAAAGACAATGGTTCTACGTCGGATGCTTTCTCCGTTTCGATCCTTAATTTCACTTTGCGAGATGATACACACGAGATAAGTCACAATACTTATTGTAATTACTCATTGTAATTTAAATTCTATCAAACCGTTGTTCCAATGTGTCGAACGTAATCTCCATTCTGTCAGTTATCGTGCTTCTTTCTTTTCAACTGTCGACCTGTTCTCGATTGACGATCAAATCAAATTCTGCCGGGTGTTATCTTCATCGCCAGCAGACCAATTCCGCAGTCAATAGATTGACTGAAGCGCGTACTATGAATGCTCATTGGATTACAATTGCGATATTCCGATTGATATTGATCGGTGTCCGACTTCATGTTCGTGTTACCATGATTTCATCTGAACTTCGATCTGCAGTGCGAATCAGGCTAAATACGTCCGTGTGATTAAGTTCCGGACTCGGAACCACGAGTTTTTCGATGGTTCTTCCGACGAGTTTGTTGCAACTTGCTCGCAATTCGCAGAATACGGTTCGCGAGTTGCTCGCGAACAGTTGTATGGACGCGGCATTAGCGTTCGAACGTTCCATCGGAACGGTAATGTAGAAATAAGAGCATTCGAAGTGGCGATCGGCCGCGAAAACCCAATACGAGGTAGCACTTTTCTGCCGACTTCCGGCTTGTTCGCGGTCCGCTGTTGAGTATACCAGAATCGAATTCAATGTAACTAATGCTAACGATTAACGATTCTTTCGTTTTATGTTTTTATGTTTTTTTTTTTTTTTTTGGAATCTTGTAGTAACAAACGGCTGATTATTATTGTCGCGGTGGCTGTTAGTTTTTCAAACTTCTTGAAAAATTTTCAAGGAAAAAGTATTTTTTATACGAGCGTGTAAATGAGTCAGGTTGCTATGGAGGATTAAGAGTATGAAATAAAAAGTGCAGTCAGAAGCTTGTGAGAGTATGTATACACTAATAAAATTAGAAAATTAGGATTAACGTAAATTAATAATAACATCAACTTCTTCAGAGAAACAAAAGAGCTTCTATTCTTTTCTTTTTTCTTATTCCTCGCGTTTCAATTGTTCTGATTTCAAGTTTTATACTTTAGACGTTGATGTCTGTAATGAATACCTAAATATTCGAAAGTTTCCGCCAGTATGGACTATTTACAATTTATTTCGTAAAATTTCACGAATATAATGATAATAACGAAAGACTTTTCTTGCAAGTTTCTGGCTGCGATTCGCGGATTTCTCAGGCAGGTAAAGGGCCTTGAATTGAAACCGTTCCAAGATCAGGACGCTGGAGATAGAGAAGTTAAACCGCATAGTCCGCTACTATGAGCAATATTGCTTTAAGTAAGATTGAATTTCGGCTTTGGCAAGCGGCGCGCTTTTCTCTCGATAAATATAGTTTGAAAATTGAAATGGAATTACGGAGCTTCGACCACTAGAAAGTAGAGTTGTATCGATGAATTTTACGTTTCTTGGAAATATATTATTACATGCATATATATATATATATATTAATATATTTGTACGAGGAAACATTCGAGTGAATTTCTTTAGTTTTTAAAATTTTCTTTCTCACTCGTCGCAATCTTAAAATATTCTACGTTTTTTCACAAATGTTTTCTAGTTTTCGCCATAATTTTGATTTGAATCTATCGTATCTGCGACTGTACTCGTTAAACACAATCATCATTCTTTCAAAAACGTATAAGAAAATCTTTCGAAGCTCCAATTTATCTCTCTCATTTCGTCTCTCTCGCAAATGAGAGAACATTTCGTGAAATTGTTATTATTTGAAGAAAAGGAAGAGAATACTAGACGATTAAGAACAGTTGCGATCTATGTAGCAGACAAAGTCAATCGTAAAATGGAACTTTTCCATTGTAATGTTTCTGACAGAAGTTCCTACACTGATTCTGGAAATGCGACGAATCGAATTTAACAAAAGCACTAGACGGCCCATTTAGCATGTCGCAGAATGTTACGACTTCGACCATAACGAAATAGACCTCATTTTGCAATCGCTACATATCTGATTACTTTCACAAGTGCGCTCGTTTCAAACTCGATCGCGCGTCGAACGTCCGATGCTGCTCTTCTTCAATTTTCAAAACTGACAGTCATGCAAAAATTCTATGTTATTGCACCAGAGTTGGGAAATAGTACAAAGTAGAAATATTATTGAAAATTAGACTTCATTATTAAATTATTAAACAATCGGTATATTTGGGTTTATCTGGTTTGTTATTTTTATGATAACAATCATCCTAAATATTTTCAAGTAGAAGATTGAAACAGTTTTAGTACCCGTGCCTCGTTTATATCTCGTATACACATTGATCACATGGCGGCTACCATAGTCAACGAATTTCGTTGCTAGAGAAAAATAGTGCTTGAATTTTTCCCGGAAAAGGTAATCCGTACAGTTCGATAAATCTTCTTCGCGACAAAAAGAGTATAAGAAATTGCAAAAGCCATAAACGTTGGAATAATTAGAAGCTATCCAGCTGTCACGTTACACAGTTTTCATTTTCTCGTCGCGTTACACGGCCCTAGAGTTTCAACCGGTCTCGAGATTCACGAGCCTTCTAATATCAGGGCGGAAGCGACGACACCGCGCCACGGCGAGGGTAGGAGCGCAATAATTGTTTGCCGCCGGTCGGAGCCACTTGTTCCTCCTCACACCCGTCGTCCTCGTTTATGCAGCAATAATTTCGTTCGTGTAATTTGCCCGTGAAACGACGAGCCGTGAAACTTTCCGCGAGAGGGTCCGCTATCTTAAATCCTCCGCTCCGTTCCTCGCGATTCGTTTTCCTTCTCGCCTTTTGTTACCACTACCACGAGCACCCGCGTGAAATTACTGCGAGATCGGCGAAAGGGACGAGTGTAACTTAATTTGCCGCTGGATAAACTGATGTTTAATGGGACCTCGAGATGCTCTACGTCTTGTAGTTTGATCTGACAACAGTTGCTCAAAAAGACGTGTAAATTAGACGCGTGTGAATGACGCTGGAAGAGAGCAGGTGGTATTTCAACACACTGTTAATCCAATCACCGATGATACAGTAATTGATATTTTACACAACATGAAATGTACAGCTTATTTCTGTGCAATCGAGTACATGTTACAACATGAAAATCATTCCCAAACTCGTCTGTCCAAGTAATACGGAACGTGATGAACCATCCAGCTACTTCTTTTTTCGAATCGTGATCGATAAGAAGTCCCGGTTAATTTCCGCGTGAGGACTAATTCGTGCATCGATACTGAAAGCTGTTTCACCGTCGAGCAAATGGGAAGGGATATCGATGGAATAAATAGCGAGCAATCGAAATTGCGGGCGTAACGTTGGGCCCGGCTGCGGGCAGACCGTCCCGGTGATACATCGACGGCAATATCCACCTGTTTCGCATGAAATACGAAAGCATGCTGTCGCGTTGCGCCCTCCGCACTAGATCTTCGATATTGCCCTCGCCGGGCTGAGTTACTGGTGGCGTTGCCTTTTTGAATGCAACGGGACTCGCTCATTGAATATACGGATGGATACCAACCAACAGTGTATCCGTTCGTTTGAGAATTCGGTTTCCTGGCCTTTTCTCGCTCATCCTTTATCGACGCTCGCCCTTCCGGATCCCTTTGCTTCGTCGGTTTGCTGTCTCGTCCACCCTCTTTCCCTCGTCTCGATTCCTTTCGTGTCCGATCGAGTTGAAATTGAACAGCTACGGAGCCAAGAAAGGGTATAGAACTTAGAAGGTGTGCAATGATAATAAGGTTCTACCATAATTTGTCGTTGGCCCAACCCTTGGGCATTCTTGGCTATTTGCGACACCAATTTTCATTCATTCCTATTTTCCTTTTTCTCTTATTTTTATTTTATTGGTTTCGTTGAATTGAAGTTGAAAAAGAGTTGAGAAAAGATAGAATTTAAGAGATGATACAAGGCAGTGATAACAAATTTCTATTATAATTTGTCATTCATTCCTATTTTCCTTTTTCTCTTATTTTTATTTCATTGGTTTCGTTGAATTGAAGTTGAAAAAGAGTTGAGAAAAGATAGAATTTAAGAGATGATACATGGCAGTGATAACAAATTTCTATTATAATTTGTCATTCATTCCTATTTTCCTTATTTTTATTTTATTAACGAATCGAAATTGTAAAGATATAGATTTTAAGTGTGCTATGAAAATGATCAAATTCTTTAGAAAAAAGAATAATTTGGTGAATAATCGTTAGACTGCGGGTTTTCACGCAAATTCAAATCTTTAGAAATAAATCTTTAAATATAAATAAAGTAATACAACGTCGGTTTTGGAAATTTGCCTTACGTATTACGATATTATAAGAAGCACTATGGTTTAGATATTTTTGATATTTTTGATACACGTACGAGGTATAGGTAACTTGTCGAGTTTGAATATATGATATCGTCCCTTCGAACTTGTCAAGCATGCGAATCTTAAGAGTGTTGGCTGACGTGAAAATTATCGCGGTGGATGCGCAATGCCGCAAACAAGAATTCCTAGATTCAGAGTCGTACATCATTTCCCCCGGGTCCCACGAATCGTTAATCTCTGCTGGTTGTTTCTACAAATCCCGGGATCGTTTTGAAGGTGTAACTTCCTCGTACACCTGTTCGAGGTAACGTTAAACCTCTTCGAGGCATTCATCTTCGTCACGCCGTAACGTAAGTGGAAGAAAATCGATGAAAAGACGTGTGTTCGGTAGATGGACAGTTGCACCATCGATCAGCGCGTCATTATTCGATAAATATTACGTAATTTATTCAGCTTAATAACCTGTTTGTAATTTAAATGTAATTTTCATCCCGATTTTTGCAATCAAAGATTATTTATATTCGAAAGTAACTGATTAAGAAAGTTAGATAGGGACTCACGTTGTACGGTTAGTCACAAAATATTTAAAAATATTTAAAACAGAATTAACTTGTTTGGTTTAGGTAAATGATAATTCTGAAGCAATATACTGTTTGATTATAATTACAATCCGCAATATGGTAAAAAATGAAATGATATAAAGTATTCAATATAATATAATATGATACAGCATAAAATAAAAATAATACGTTTAACAACCAAAACAGATTTCCATCTAGGCCCTGCTCTTTCAGTTGCATTTATAAAAATACGAATTTATATAAAAATCCGCACCTTCAACACTGTGTTTCCAAAAACTCACACAATCAGGACGTCCTCTTAAAATTCTGCGAACACTGTCTTCTTAGGCTTAGGCAATAATATCGTTCGACCCACAGTCGTTCCACGTGCCGCGTTAATCGAGCGTGTAACTCGCGTTGGCAAAGAAGCCGAAGCCGGCAGGAAGCGAAAGATCTTTCACGGTCTCGAGAGAGAAAAAAAAAAGAACAAGAAAGAAAATCGATCGTCCAGAGAGAAGGATGACGGCCAAGCACGTTCGCCGATCCACTAGAGAAAAATCGATGACCGGCGTAGAGTGGCCGGTTTTCTGCACGCTGCTTCGCCTTTCGTTTCACCTTCCCTCCACTTGCGGCTCGCTGCACGCGTCATTTAAGCTCGTCTCGAGAACCGGAAGTCGATACATCGATGCTCGGTCTACCGCGCTCCGCCTCTGACACGCAATATTCGACCAGGTCGCTTGCGAATTTCGACGAAAGCGTTGGTCCAATTTTTCTGAATGAATTCGCGAGAAGGACGGGTCTCGTGAGCGCGATACCGGCGATAGAAAGATGAAAATCAACTGGAAATCGTAAAACTTTAGATTTTCGATCATTATACTTGTCACCTGATATATATTATCTTTGCTAAGTTTGTGCACTACATTCATTTATTGAGAATAAACGCTCATGTTTAGAGAATGTATACATGTATAATTGAAACGTGAAACTTGAAAGACTGGAAGATTATGTTGCAAATTACAGCTGTAATTTCAAAAAAATTGTATAAAAGTTTATACATAGAATTATGGAGTTCATTCGATAGAAATGCATTGCGATGTTTCGCCCGTACGTTAAATGTTCAAATAAATGCATTCAACGAGCAAGTATCACTTTAATTAGATACCAATTAAAATTTAGTTCAAACAAATAGTTTGAAGTTGTACTATAATTTCAAATTAAATCTTCGAATGTTCTATAATATTTTCGTACACCAAAATCTTGCAACAATCGGAATTTTCCTCGGTCCTCAGAAATCCGTCGAATTCATCGCGTCGGATTCGCAAATTCTCCTCATCTCCACTCGAAAACATCAAAGATTCTTTCGAAAATGACGAAAGAGGAAACGGACCGGTGATTCCGGCAGAGTAGGCTGGAAAAATATTTTTCCCTTTCGTTTTCCATCACGTCGAAGAAGAAACCCCTTTTATTCTCGAAGGCAGAAGAGAACACGAACACGAACAAAAACGAACATCCGTCGGCGTCGAGCCGTGAGATCTTGGCGCTTCTGGCGAGCAAATGTGTCTCCGTGTGAATATACCTTGCGTCGATATTTCCAGCTCTCCTTCCCCTACGACAATTCGTTCGCAATTTCCATGATTATCGATTCAGTTCGTTGAGAACCTTCCCAGGCGAGCAACGTGTTAGACACATTCAGTGGCATTAAACGACATTTAGGCCGCCATTTTCTTTTCAAATCAGTCTCTCGATTGGAGAATCAACCTCTGGAGAAATAAAACGGGAGCTCGGTGTTAAAAATTAAAGATATTATTCAATTCAAAGTTATGCTCGTCGCTCAGTATTAAACTTTTAGAGAATGATCAAAATCATCAATGTATATTATTATGTAGAATAAATTCTGCTGCATATTATCATTTTAGACGTCGATGCCTTCGAGACATTAAAAGTTATACGCTGATTATCATTGTACTCGCTTTTAATATCTCCATGAAACAAATATTATCGGAATATTATTCATTAGCTTGTTATTTGATCACTGTTCGTTAATATTGTCATGATATTTAGCAACGAAATAAATAGTGTCCCATCTCTTACGTGTATATTTCTCAACGTTTCTTATTTTCCAGTAAATTTCGAACTGGCATTCGACGCGATACCAACGATTGCATATTGCAGTACTCGAAATAAAGTTTTTTCATTTCATCAAAGATGTATGCCGATATATGCGCTTTAGTTTGACACTTATTTCTTGTTCGCGGACTTCATTTTAAAGTTACTGAAGGTTGGCGAAGTTTGACTTGGGAAGAGGTCTTCAAAAGCTTTATAAAGAGAGGGTATTGACGATGACGAAATAGTTCGAGTAGGTACTTCTCCGCTCTAACTACATGCTGCTCAGCCAGAAATCGTTTTAATTAACACTTATGTTAGCAGATTATTTTTTCAAGAGCTGGCTCAACTTACTTGCGAGGTCAGACGTAAAAATATAGCTGACAGTGATAAAGAGTAATATTAAAAATATTACATGTATGTATTTCAGTAAAATGCAATGTAATATTAAATTTAAATTATACTGTTATAGTATAGTATAAACGATTAATTATTAATATTTATTATATACAATAAACACTTTGGTAATTAAATTAAATGATAATTTGTTGCATATAATAGTATAATTATTCCTATATTATTTAATATTATAATATTAATGATTACATGTAATAGTGCAACAAATTGGTTGTATTATATTAATAAAATTAATCAATGCAAGCAGTAATATTCATATTTCTAATATTATTCTCACTTGCCAGTAGCTTGTTATCAACTTTTTAAATAATGTACGACTACCTGTGCTTGTATTTTCGATACTTTGACGGGAATTTTATACGAAGCAAGGATTTTTCAATCTTCTGTAACTGCACAGTCGGAGGGGTATCGATTTCACCAAACCTTTCAAAGTCGATGTTTTTGAAGTCTTGCAAGAGTAACGTTCCACGAACCGTTTGAGCAACTTTCATGGATTTTCCGAATTTTCTTCACGTTCCTAACGTCTGTGCTTTGGATCGCTCTACTTTATTAACGAACGTGATAGTCGATCGAAGGGGAGTGTAAAATGCATCCGGAATTCAAAAAGTTGACTCGAAATCTCGATGTTTGCTTACGTATCATTCTTGGTCATTTTTAATATTTGTAGTACTGTTTTTTTTTTTTTTTTTTCTGTTTAATATACTATTTCAATCGCTTGATCTATGAAATCTTGATTTCATCCCCGTCCTGAGTTATACTCGAGAAAATCGTTGATACGAAAACTAATTTCAACGCGTTTTAACGTAAATCTCAGAGTAGAAATAGGTCGACGATTACAGGCTTGCATAAACGACATGTCGATGTTTGATCGATTCCAACAAATACAGCTGCTCGCGAAAGTATTCGAACGCTCGTGTGGAAACTTTCGCGATGGATATATTATGCGTAAAACATTTTTGTCGCGAAACATTTTGACACTTCATTAACACACGGATTGCCGCGCGAAATTTACATTTAATATTTTTATAAAATACAGTGTACCAAGTCTCAATAATTTGAAGCCCGAATTTGGTCTTGACGCTCTCCAACAGAAATCAGAGTATCGTGCAAAGAGTCACGTGGAAAAGTTGGATTTCACGTCAGTTTCGTTCGTTTTATTTTTATAAATTTTACTGTACAAATTGTTTTATTTTACAAGCATGTTATTAATTTTATTCGTTACCGGAACAAACTGTCGCCAAAGTCAACGTGGATTCCCACCCTAATTTCAATATCTTTGTTTTATCATTATTTGCCAGTGTAATTCTTAAACAATATTTGACGCGAATACGATGGATTGAAACATTTTGTTTGTTTGTTCAAAATTGGATAAATTTCTGTTTTCTAAGTTCTAAGTTTCCTTGGAATTTTTCATTTATCATTTTTCACGGCGTCGCGCGTATTTATCCAAAGGTTTCACATCGATGACGTGAAACCACCTCGTTTTAATTATTCCGACATAAACCGGTCCCCGATAACCATCAGTCGATAGATTGCAAATGGATCAAAGTTCATTCGGTATTTATTCTCGAGTAGCGGCTGTCCGATCGATCGATCGTCGAGTGCAATGTGCACTTTGAGCATCCATTTAAATCCGAGCCAGAGTTAAAATTAAAATTACGCTCTGTTACGGATATAGCTTGCATTTATCCAGCCTGAAGTGGGAACTACGTGGCAAGCACGGCCGGATATAACTGGTGGCGAGGGGTTCGGATAGTTTTTGCATCCAGTGGGAATCTGCGCGCGAGGGAAGCGAGACGAGCGGCAGTAGATGAAACGCGAAAGAAGGCAAAGTGGCGAGGAGCGTCCGGTTGTTGATCCGGCCGGTTAGCGAAGCACAGAAGCGCGTGTGTCGAGAGAGAACGCTCACTCGCCGATCAACCTTCTTCTGCGATTCCATCGCGCACATACATATGTACATACGTATGTACGTGCACACGTATTCGCCAGTGGCGTAGTCCTTCGCCGATCATAATTCATTCTCAATGCTCTTTTCTGTCTTCGTCGTGTGTCGTTTTCTTGCCAGCCGAATCACACCGATTTCCACGACGAAACGAAACGTTCGAAACAATTTCCATGGGTGGGGATTTAGAGAGAGAAAGGGGGGAGGGGGGGGGGGAGTTTAGATTCTGGATTCTAGATTCTAAATTCTAAATTCTAAATTCTAAGATTCTAGATTTTTAGATTCTTAGTTTGTTAGATTCTAGATTGTTAGATTCTAGATTCTAAATTTTAAGATTCTAGATTCTTAAATTCTTAGGTTCTTCGGTTCTTAGGTTCCCCGATTCTTAGATTCTCAGATTCTTAAATTCTTAAGTTCTTAGGTTCTTAGGTTCTCAGATTCGTAGATTCTTAGATTCTTAGATTCTTAGATTCATAGATTCTTAGATTATAAAGTCTAGATTCTTCTCTAGAGATCTAGAGTCTATGAATGTAGAATATAGCGTCTAAGAATCTAGAATATAGCGTTTAAGAATCTAAAATCCAGTGAGTTAGAATCTAGAATTCAGCTGCATTAAGAGAGAAAGAGAAAGAGAGAGAGAGAGAGAGAGAGAGAGAGAGAGAGAGCGATAATTTTGAAACTTTACTGTACTGTACTATAAACCCATTAAAAGTACTTTACTATATAATAAATAATTTACTATACTATAAAACTATTAAAAATACAAAAGACGTATTATTTCCAGTACAAAATGCACGAAAACAATTGACAATACACGAGAAAACGATCTCAATCAAAATCCTGAATCTTCGAAAAAAAAAAAAAAATGTACAAAGTGGTATGTAGACGTGGAATGAATCGCGGACTGTAGGAGGCAGCGATAACTGCGTTTCCATCGACGGACAAAGGAATTCTAATGTATCCTCAGCGTCTCTGAGCTGCGGATTTCGAGATCCTTGTAGGTTACATGGTTAATTGCTCGATGAACCAATTACCGCGAATTCCTTGGAACACGAAATCGATTCGCTCGTTTTCAAAGCGGATAATTTCGCCCGTTAACCGGCCCTTTTGCGCGAGTTCGTTACGTTAGCGTTGCACGGCTCCGCTGAAAACTATTTCCAGGAATGCAACCGCTTTCTTTGCACAGCCGACGGGAAACGAGAATTCTCAGTCTGACCAAAAGAAGTCCGTACTTCGTGCAGTGGTGACTCCAGCGAATGATATGGAGAAATAAAGAGATGATATATTTAATGATTTGATTACAATATCACGCGTTTCGTTGCTTCGTTTCTTTGATAGTGCTCGCTTTGAGAAATGATGGTAGTTACTTTTTTTGAAGTCGATAAGAAAAGAAGTTCAATTTAATAGAAAAAAATCTAACAACAACTTCGAAACTAATGGTTTTTGACGATTACATACATACTACGCGCTCTTGAAATTTGGCACCAGCTCTTTTGAACATCCTGTGCACGTACGTGCGCGTATTTTTGAAGTTCCGCGTTGGCAAGGATGCCACGTTAGAGTCGATGGAACTTGGGGATAAACATCCCCAGCTGACGTACTCGCGGACACGTGCGTCTCCGCCGCAGCTCGTCTCCACGCCGCGATGCCTCTTCCGTTTCTTCGTTGTCTGCGCTTCTTTCGGCGCGAACTTCTGCCGCGGCCAGTATCGTTCGAAACAGCCGCTGCGAAACAGCTCGGTTCGACTCGATGACCCGCGAACGTCCGCCAACGTCCAATTTCGTCCAGCTAGTTTCGTACTTTGCTCTGTTATTTTTCTTTTTTTTTCTTCTTTTTTTCTTTCGGTGCAACGGCCAAATTGCCGAAGAGAAAAGCAAATAAAGCGGAGAAGTTCGCGTGCAGCCACCATTGTCTCGGTTCACGTTGGTTTAAGAAGCTTACTCGAAGCGTGGAAATTGGAGTCGCGCCGAGAGAGAAAAGTTGCTTTCTTGATTGTTGTAAAGTCGCGGTTATTGATTAATCAGAGCGCGGGTGAATTGAAGTTAAAGTGCCTTGGTGAGATTATTTTTGTTCAGTTTGGTCTGTGTTCTTCGTTGGCGGAAAGAATCGAACGAAGATACATGACGAGTAACGATTGTATTAATTAACGAGCGGATTCGTTCGCGCAAACGTGAATAACCAAAAAAAGGGAGAGAATATGCGATATTCTTAGCCCTCAAGTAGCGTCGTTGTTAGATTACAAAAGCGTCCTTTTTATAGACAAGACTTTTTGAGCGACGATGTATAGTAACATATTGAGTTTGAATGAATAAAAGGAAAAGAACCATTTGAAGTCCCCAGATGAAGTTCAGCAATTCGAATGGTGTATTGCATGATGAAATGAAATTTTCAAAATGTGGATACTTTCACGTCACACGACTTTCACTATTACGTCGAATATTACGTTCCGGAAATATTAAAATTTGAAACATGAAATTCGGAATACGAATGAACAATTTAAAAAGCACCTGGCTCCTCGAAATCAATGGACGAATTGTTGTTCGCGTGGCACGATCGTTGGAGGCACGTACGAGAGTACAAGGTGTATAATTGACGTTGCTGCCGTCGCGCGAATATTAATAGTCATCGAACAATTATTAAAGGAGTCGTCCACGGTTCCGTAGAGGATGAAGTGAGAGAAAGAGAGAGAGAGAGAGAGAGAGAGGAGGGAGAAACGCACGGGAAAACAGATAAAAAAGAAACAAATAAGAAGGTCGTAGCTGGAACGACGTTTCTTACGTACGTGTTTGAAATACGAAATGCGAAGAGGATCGGCTACGCAACCGGTCCGCCGCCATCGGCATTGTTCCGCGTCTTGTACGCTCCGTACCCGTTGCTCGTCTCGTGCAACACGTCGCGACGCTTCGTTGCGCTTCGTGCCCCTCTGAATTTCGATTATGCTAGAAATTGCCAACTGATAGAGATCGTTCGATCGCGTGCCCACTGATTTTACTCGTCGAACGGTTCACCCAGCTGCCATTAACTCTCTGAGGTCATCGTGTAACTCGCAAAGTCGCTCAAAAATATCAAAATGTCTTTTGTCTTTCATTTATCGTAGACAATCGAATTTTTAAACTGCAGGAACATCTTAAAATATCTTTCGTTCTTGATAGTAATCGGTATTTATCTATTGCGGACATACTTAGGTGGATTGCTTGAAATGATCGATTCGCAGCGTAATTTTTCGTGGAAATTTAATTATTTTAAACGGGAGGAATTATTTTCATGATCTGACCGATTTTTCACAAGACACAGCTATAAATGGAAGTTTGTATTCTTGATTGGATTTTATTATAAATTTAATTGAACATATTCATTTATTTGCATATTTGATACTTCCATCTTCGCACTTTTTTACTGATTCGTGTTGTATAGTTGCAGATTGTTTCTTCCTGTAAAATTTTTAATAAATTTTTAATCAGATTCGCCGGTCCCTGGCGAAAGCAAACAGTTGTTGTAGCGTTGATAGTTTGTTCGATATACGTGGATACATGTTCATACGTGACTCGATAACACGATGATATCAACATTCTGTATTACCTGTCTATTTTTGAGATTGTTACCAAGGTGATGGTTATTACGAGGATTTATATACATTGTCTGAGACAGTTCCTGTGCATTTCGCTGACTTCAGGGATGGTCATACATTAGAAAGTTTGCGCAGCGTATCCGCTTCAAAACCAACGTTACGAATCCTTACAGACATCCGGTGCACATAAATTTGTCGCCTCCTCCGCTCGTGTGTTTGTATCATCTTCTGAATTTCCGTATACTCACTGTCCGATGGATACGAAACTTGTTCGATTAACAAGCATACGGACGAATGTGTTAGCCTCTGGTAAATTCTAGAGGCGATTTTGAAACGAAACTATTGGACCAAATTATGCAAAATTGAACAGCTACATACGAAACGAGAAATTCGTAAAATTGCTTCATAAATGATTAAATTGGAACTATTTGAATCAGACGAAGTTCAAAATTAAATAATTGTAAAATTTTAATTTCAAAAGAAGACCAGAAACTCAGGAAGATTGCTTCGCGAATAATCGAATCGAAAATAAATAAAAATCTACAAGTTTCTATCTTGATCAGGTGAAGTTAAAAAAAAGAAAAAGCAGAATTAAATGATTAGAAATTTCTAACTTCGAAGGACAATCAGAAACTCGAACGATTAAACAAAAATCTACAAGTTCCTAATATGGATCAGACGGAGAAACTGTCAGATCAAATAAAAGACCAAAAATCTGCAAGTTGAACTTCAACGAAACAAGAACTCGAAACTCGAGAGATTACTTCTTGAATGATAAAATCGAAGAGAAATGCAAATCTACAAATTCCCATCTGCGTCAGACGACGCAAATCCTGTGATTTGGCGACTGAAATAAAAAGAGTGGACGTGGATTTTGATGTGCGACGCGCGACACAAAGAGAGCTCGAGGTTCTTGCTCGATCCACCAAGCATACGAATGAATATGAATATACGAACGACTGAATATATACACGAAGCAACAATTTCGAAGTGACTGTTGGTCTGCAACTACACGAAACCGAACATAGTCATAAACCCCGTACTTCGCGAAGAGAAAATCAGAACTTAGAGAGATCGTTTCACGAATGATCAAATCGAAGAGAAACAAGAATCTACAATTGAGAAATCTGCAAGTTAAACGGCAAACTTCAAGAAGATAAAGATTCACAGAGGAAACGAGAGTGTACGAGCTCTTATTTGGATCAGAGGATAATCCACTGTTTCAATGGTTCGATTAGAAAAAGTGGACGCAGATTTGGAAGGAGCAACGTTCCTCGAACGCAGAGAGAACGATTTCTCGAGGTTTCAGCGAGCACAGTCCTCGTTCAATTACCAAGAACAGTAAATGAGTTTGCTATCTAAATTTCAGAAGCAATTTTGAAAAAAGAAACAACTATATAAATACCGAACTTGAAGCAGATAGAAAAGACAATTTGCCAAATAATCGATAGAGAAAGAAATAAAAATCTACGGGATCCTATCTGGCTTCTGTCTGACGATTGGACTAAGAAACGCGGGCATGGATTTGGAAGGAGCAACGTTTCTTCGTACATAAAAAAGAACCGTTCCTCGAAATTCCCACGAGTATATTGGATACTGGCTGAAGAATCTGGTCTCGAGGACGTGTCAAGGAATCCCGGAAGCTCCGTAGCTGTTCGTTCGACCGAGAGACCTGCGCGTGAACCGAGAGACGTTTCTTGATTTGCAGTGATCGTTGATCCGCGAATCGGCGATTGCTTTCTTCGTCCTTGGAGGGCTGGGTCTCGCGCTGGGTTTCCTGCAGGAGCGCGACGTCGTTCAACGCTCTCGAAAAGAACGTTCTCGTTCCAGTTTCTCGGTGCAGAGATAGCAGAGTCTCTGGGATGTCAAACTGCTGCAGCTGCATCCGCCGTTGCGGCACGGACGCTTATCAGCCGCTGAGCTCGCAAAGACTCGGATGCGGCGGCTCGAAGGTCTACTGGGATGGCAGAGAGTCGATCAGAAGCCCGAGGAATCAGCGTAGAAAGCTGAGCGTGCGGTACGACGCCGTCAGACCAGCCGGAGTCGCAAGGTTAGACGACGATCTAGGTCCATCGATGTGACGATCACGATGGGAATTGTACGCGCGAATTCGCGAAAGTGGGTGATTGTCAGTTTGATGGGAGAGAATTGTCGGTTTGATGGTTGTTTCGTTACAGAGTTGTGGAACTGCATGAGTTTGAGGCAGTCAGATCGATGGTTTCGACGTTAAATTTCAAATTTTCGAGCACAATCGTTGATGGCCGCTTTTTGGGAAGAGCGCGAGCGCGGAAAATATTAAATTCGTTTCGATCAAATCAACGAATTTTCGATTTTTCGGAATGGAGAAGGAAATGTTCGCCCTGTTTGATGCGGGGGAAATTTGACGCATTGTTTATTTAAATTTACAATCACCGTGAGTGATTTTCGGAACCATTGTTTGTTGGATTGCTCATACGGGAGACCAAAAATATTTTTATTTAATAAACACGATATCTCTTCAATTTAAAAAAAATGCAGCCCACGCGGAGATTTGAAATTTTATATATTTTTTGCACGTATATCGCCAGTATTCTCTGTATTTTCGGATCTTCAAATTTCCAACAAAGGCGTAAAATTCGCAGTCCAGTTCTGTTAATGAACAGAATCCGATATTTACGGGAAAATTGTGGATTTTTGCGCGTTTATCGAAAATCTCGAATAATACACGAAAACACATAAAATATTCAAAGTGTAATGCTTCGTATAATATTTAACAGGAATAATTAATTTTCTTAATCATCCTTACAAGTGCACAACTATATATATATATATATATATAAAAATGCACAAACATCCGCAGTCTATTCATGGGAGCATGTACAACATTTTCGAATGTACCTTTCTTAAATTGTAAGTTATCGAAATGTTTTTGTCGAACCTCGCGCGTTGTTCACATATTTGGGAATCACTTGTTTACGTAAACAGACATGATGCATTCGGAATGCTGATGACGTTGGATTTGGATTAGTCTGGAATAGTAATGATGATTTTACTGTCAGCGTGTTCCCGAGAGATTATTCTGTTTGATCGTATTCGATTTACAGAGCGTTCGAACTGATCGATAAGCAATAGATTTCTTCTATATACGCGCTGGCAAAGTGGCGAAATATTTAACACTTTTAAAATCAAACTCGGTAAACCGGTGTATTTTCGATATCATTTCGCAAAAGTTTTCCTGCAACGTGATTAATAAATGCATTTCGACGCATCAAATTATCATTTTACAATTTATTAATTTTATTTGTTGTAGCAGGGATTTTAATTTATATTTCTTCGATTACGATATTGAAATGATAATATTATAAATGACACGAAAGCCGAAGTATTCGTATCGAATTGATTGATATTGATATTAAGAATGAATAATACGACAAGTCGCAGTGATATGTGCAATTTAATGTGCGAAATTTCTTTTTTTTTTTTTGTTGCAGGTGAGTAATCGCTGATCTCAATATTTCCAACTCTTCCAAAAATTCTGACAAGAGACGCGGTAAGAACTGGTATAATTACTTTCAGTGTCCAAAGAACAAACAATGTTTTGTTATTCAAGCAACATTCTGTACAATTACAAAATATCAAAAGTATCGGTCACTTTTCTTTGATCATATATCCCAATGAAATACAGACTTGTTCGTCGAATATTACAAGCAAATTTTTGATCGTTTAAACGAAAGTATTCGATATAATATTCGAGCTTAAACTATCGATCAAATATCTTAAATTTGTCTGTCATCGTGTAAAACAATCAAGATCTTGATTATTCAAACGAAGATAAAACGATTTTATATAATATTCGAGCGCAATATTTATAGAGAAGATCAATTATTTTTCATTAATCGAACACAGTTTGTCAAAATTTTTATTTTTGTAGTAACGAAAACATGACAAAATTGATCCAGACCTTTTGCAATTCTTCCAAACTTTCTTTCGATTTTTCGCGCAAATCCATTGCATTGTTTCAAAACAAAAACTAAAGTTGGAAAAAAAGCAATTCAAAATAGTCTCTCGGTTAACCACGGTTACTATTCCTTACCACTCTTTCGAGTTGTCAATTTTTTTTTTTTTGGAAATTGCCAGGCGACCCTGTGGTTTACACTGGATCAATCATCCAGCTAGAGGGTTTAACCTTCGTACCGTTTTTGATCAAAATAAATTTTATTTTTATGTCGGACGTTCAGTTTTTTTTAGATCAAAGTGCATGCACCTTCCTTTTGGACGAATATTCTATAAAAAAAATTTACGTAAAACAATTATCGTCAAAGCGGAAATTTTTACATTAAAGATCTTTGCGTCTATTGGACCCATCGTATTACATTAAACTATAATTTTCATAGTTCACGGTATTATATCAAAAAGATAATCAATAATAATATAATATAAATTAATTCGAGACGCTCACACAAATGAAATGTCGCATAGTATCAACGCGACACTGACATTTCTAACCCCTTGACATGCAATAGCGTCTGAGAGACGTCATACGTTTCCTAATGACTATTGAATTATTAATTTGTTCCTTCATCAGTTTTTCATTAATTTCGTTCATACGTATTGTGTTTATGGTGTCTTGCAGTATAAACGTAAAAGTATAAAACTTAAGTTCACACGAATGTTAAAATGAAAAAATAAATATTGTGTTTGTCATGTCGAATTTCATTCAATTCGTATGTCAAGGGGTTAGTGGGGCTGACGCAAATGATCGAGTCACGAGAATTCGAAACGAGGTCCGCGGAAGGGTTTAACGCGGCGCTCGCATACTATCCCGTGATGCACGGTTGAGGAGGGTGCGCGAAGGGTTGCGGTCATGTGACTGCCATCCCCGAAAGTGGGGATGGCATCCCGTGATTTTTCCACGATCGTGCGGAAGCAGCGAGTCAGTTCCGCAGGAACTCCCGCGCGGTTCACACACTCGTGATACGTTCTCTCTCCCGGTTCTTCTCTCTCTCTCTCTATTTCTCTTTCTCTCTATTTCTCTTTCGCCTCGATTATCACAGCGTGCGTGATCCAGTGGCGATCCCGTGTTCGCCGGTCGTTTCGCATCGTTCGTTCCATTTTATCAACGTACTTTATCGTTCCCCGTCCTCGTCGTTACGTGCACGTTTGCCGTTTCCGGCTGCTCCTCCCTCACGTTGTCACTTTTTCGCGTGAAAAAGTCCTCCGCGTGCGAGGAACAACCCCTCAGATATTTTTTTTCAGATTCTTCGCGTTTATCCCACTTCCTGCTCTCTCTCTCTCTCTCTCTCTCTCTCCCCTTTATTCACTCACTTCGTTTATTTATTTGGCTTTATTTTAGTGGAATTCGGTGGAATCTCTTGGATTTATCCACGAAACACGTGGCCGTGTGCGTTGTACGTGGACATTTGTTCGTGTTATCCCCGACCGTAGTGTTACGAGGATTAATTAAATTACACGTGGATTGAATAATGTGAGAATTTGCTGGTGATTTGTATTTGTACTGGCGATCCTGCGCCTGCATAGTTTCACGACTTTCGGTGATACTTGAAACGCAATGAAACCCCCCGGGAATTTATCGTTTTAATAGATGGTGATAGTCTGAAAATACTCTGGTAATTTGCGTGTATTTACACGACGTTTCAACTGACGAGGCCGCGTTTGCATTTCGCGTCGCCGACATCACGCGAGAATTTGCTGCCTGAATAATTTATCTATTTGACCGATTTAAATAACTTTAAGCCTATGCATTTTACGACTTTTCTTTTTTGGGAACGTGATTGCTTTTCGTGATATACTATAACGCAGTGAATTTCGTGAAAATTTATCGTTTTAATAGTTGAAAATACTGAATTGATCTGCCGATCAAGATCTGCTTAAATGTAGGATTCTACAGCTGTTTTTTAATAATGTGGTCGTTCTTTTTTTTTTTTTTTTTTAATACTTCAACACAACGAACTGCGTGAGAATCTGCCGTCTTGTCTAGTTGGTTTTAGTTTCAGAATTGAGTGATTTGAATATTGTTAATTGTGACATTTATTGACAATCCTGTATTTGCGTTTCTCAGTTGTTATAATAATATAATACACAGTGGATACGATATGCAGCGAATTTCATCGTTTGATCTCCTCGCTTCTTTGTTCGTTGGAATATATAATGGGATATGGAATATGCAAATTGTCATAATAGAATTGCTAAAGAACCATAAAATTATATTGAAACTAAATATTTTTGTAGATCTATGATGTATACTTTAATAGTATCCATTTCGGATTTATAGACCCGAAGAGAACGGCACTGGTTTTATGATTTTATGAAATCATTCGGTGTCGGTTGAGATTGTCAGTACACAGCGGGAAATAGTATGGGAGAAATAATGTTCAAGTGATTATTCGATATTTCCTATTGATCGATTGTTATTCTGTTTTTCTTTTTTCTTTTTATAAGTAAAGCACACTTAAATTGCCAAAAATTTAAATGTTTCTATGTTAATCATAGATCACGCATTCACATATTTTTTGTTGCCATTATCGTACCGAACTCGTTGGTTTCGAACTTTGTTCACTCGAGAATGAGTCTTGAAATAAGATCAAACAGACGAAAATAACTTTGCAATCTTTGATTCACAAAGTCCGTCGGCAAAAATGTCATCTTCGAACGTGTTAAATTTGTTTTGTCTTACTGAAAATCAATGTCGAATGAATGTTGGCAAGTATAGTCTGAAAGCTTTCGCTAATTTCTGTTGGAACATTTTTTATAGAAGACGAAAGACAGAAAAAAAGAAACAAAATGGTATCGCGAGCGCGACGATGGGAAAGTAGAGAGGAATGTGATCAAATTTCCTATCTGTTCATTTCTTTAAAGTAACGAAGTGGCTGTCTCCATTTATCTTGGCCACCGCGTGTCGTTTAACTCTTGCGAAACCCATTTGTCCGTTTTCTTTGCTTTCCTGATTCGCGTCAAGCGACAAATATTTGTAAGGTGGCTCAGTTCCGTTTGAAATATTATCCCCGTGACTGTGTGCCGAGGATTATTTCCGATAATCTCTCGGAAAACATT